TCGTCCCTGGTAGTACCGCGCTCAACTCATTTCTCCGCGCAGTGACCTTTTTCATCAAGGTTAGTGTTTCAGAGTTATAGAGTTGAGACCACAAATAAGTAGTCTCCTTGTCTGTAGTGGCCTTCTCGGCCTTGAGGAGGTGAATTAACAAAAAAAAATTGTATTGATAAAGTATAAAATTATTTAATTGATAAAAAATAAAATTTTTACACTCTGAATTATTTTATAATGATTTTTATTTTATGTATGAATTATATATTTTATATATTAATTATTTATATTAACTTACTTTTATTGTAGAAATTTTAATTGTTGTAGTAATTCTTAAAATTCCTGCATTCTATTTCAATAAGAAAATATAAAACATTTTTTATAAGCAGTAACAACTTTTATAGCTCTTTGTAAAAAATTTTATCAAATAAGTAATGTTAATAAATAAATGGATAGCTAGTGTAAAAACCCTAAGACAACGCTCGTCTAAAAAAAATTTTCACAGTATGATAAATTACTTGTTATATTCTTGTAACATTAACGATACGAACACATGCTTGTAACAAGTATAAAACTAATTTTTTTATTTAATTAGCAATTTTTTTAATGAATAAACAAGTAGCTCGTGCAAAAACTAAAAGCTCTCGTAAGAAGCTGTTTAGAGGAGCAGCTCATTTTATTCGTTTTAAAGGAGCAGCCCATTTTATTCGTTTTAGAAGAGCTTTCTCCGCTCTCGCACCCATTTACTCCCACCGAGGCCTATATATACACACACATATATGTATATATATATATATATATCTGTGTGTATATGTGTATGTATATATGTATGTTTATATTTGTATTTATATATTTAGGAAAAACAGAAACAGAAAGAACTTGAAGAAATAAAAAAACTTAAAGAGAGGCAGCAAGCAGTGAGTAGATGATTTTTTTGTTATTTAGTTTAGGCTATTAATAAAATGGATAAATATTGCATGTTTTTTTTATTTAATAATAAGTATTTAGGGATAGGCACATTATATAAAAGTATTTATATAAAAAAATAATTTTTAAGCATAATATAAATATATAAAACATAAGTAAATATATTAAGCAATATGTAAATATATTAAACAATATGTAAATATATTAAATAGTTTAAATACAAGTCTTGGGTTTATTTAGTAATGCAGAGTAAAAATAATTTTTAGGACCCTAGACTTTTCCCAACTGTATGGTATTGTCACAGCTGTATAATATGGTTATATATATTTTGTCACACCTGTATGCTACGGCCATATAAAATTCATTTTTATACTAGTGATAATTTTTACTTAATTAGTATCGATTAATTCATGTTAAAAAAGCATTTAAAAAAATGTTATTTATTTGAAAATTTTATTTATTATTTTATTTTATTAATTTGATTGAAAATTTATATTTATTATATTTAAAAGAAAAAATAAATATTTAAAAGAAAAAATATCTTAATTTGAAAATTCAATTGATCAGAAAAATATTTCAAAAGAGTTGAATTATAATAAATTAATTTTTAATTTCTGGATTTTTTTTGTAAACAATAAGTTTCATAGTACTTTTTGAATAGGACATATTACTCTGATAGGTTTTACCAAGTCAAAAAAGATTTATTTTTAGAATTTTTTGTTGTGGTAATTGGGCTGTGGTAATCTTTTGTCTTTCTGTCAAACAGAGACAAAAATTTATTTAAATTAACACCTTAATAATTTCTTGGATTTAATCAAGCATGGATTTTTTTATTCATTTTTGTCAGTTAAGTCAAGGTGACCATGACCATGACCATGTTTTTTCTTGTGCAACTATTAATCTTTTTTTTTTTCCATCTTTTTTTAAAATAATAACTTTCTGGAGAACAAATGATATTTTATGATTGTCAGAAATTGATGCAAAAAGTTATTGTCACATGGTTCATTCTCAGATTACTAAATCTCTTAGAAATTAAGTTCTTGAGAATTTTAGAAAATTTTTAACAATAACATTTTATCTTTCATTCATGGGTCTTATCTTGGTATTAGAAATTAAGGCAAAATTGTTTACAAAAAATATTTCCTTTAATTCACCTATTGAGTCTAATGACAACATTGTTTCTATCATCCTCAGAAAAAGGGTTTAGTCAAGTTGTTTTATCATTTAGGCATTTATTTTTTTTATTTTTAAACATCTTTGCTTCCAACAAGGCTGCAAGCAAGAGTTAAAAAGAGTTGGAAGTTACTGGAAGAGAAAAGATGAAGCAAGATAACGATTGACAGACGACTTAAAAGATTGCAAATTATATGAATCAGGAAAGCAAGATGAAGGAAGCAAGTTCCAAAGAACTAATGTTCGAGGAAAAAAAACTAGAGGAATAAGAGTTTTTGGAGCGCTTAGGAACAGTTACAGAAAAAGGATGAGACTTAATTGTATGACAAGTAACACAAGAAATAATTTTAGTAGATGGCACAAGAGACACTAGCTCTTTAGAACAGTGCCCATTATAGTATTTGTAGAAAAGAGAAAGAGAAGCAACATTATGGCAATGTGATAATGGTTCATATCCACGCTAGATATGGCATCAGTATTCCATACAAAGCCGGATTTGAAATTTATAGAGATAGAGAATAGAATCCTGAGAAAGAAAGTGTCGAGTTCAATAAAGAGATGCAACTTTAACAGATTAATTTTGCAACAGATTTGATATATGGTAATTTTGCAACGGATTTGATATATGGTTTCCAAGAAAGATCGATAGTAAGAATTAATCCTAGAAGATGAAGGGTAGATGACTCATCAAGTACATTACCGTTCATAAATATAGAAAGGTCTAAATTATTACAAATACAATTGGCTGAAAAAAATTTAGTTTTATCTGAATTAAATTTCACCAGCCACTGTGAGCCCCATGCTGTAGCAGAAGTGAGATCCTTTTCAAGCTCAAATGCCCCCTCCAAGCAATCAGAGAGTGTTGGCTTTTTATCATCAAGAATAAATGGTAGTATCATCTGCAAACTTTATCAAAAGCTTTGGAAATGTCAAAAGTGATGGCCTTAACCTCTCCACCTTTATCTAATGCACAATAAAACCTATTGGTTATTACTGTTAGCAAATCAGCTGTAGAATGAGAAGAACGAAATCTATATTGATGATCAGAAAGTAAGTTATTAGATTCAAGATGAGAGATTAAGTGTTAGTTAATTAAAGATTCAAAAACCTTCCTTATGATAGGAAGAAGACTAATGGGACGGTAGTTAGACAAGTCAGAGTGCTCTCCAGAATTTTTGAAAATAGGAATAACAGATGCCGCTTTCCAGCAGGCTGGAAAACAAGACTCTGATAAGCACTTGTTAAATAATTTTGAAATTCTAGGCAACAGCTCCAGTCAACACATTTGCATGACTATAACAGGTATGTTGTCCAGGCCACAATTTGTAGAAGAGTCTAAGCAGGAAATTACTTTAGATACAGAAGCTGGAGTGATAAGAATGTCAACCAATGGATCAACCTGTTTGACGGCTATATTAGGTAGAACACAACTAGTGAAATCAAGAGATGATATTGATGAAAAATTCTTAGCAAACAATTCAGCTTTGTCTTTGGGTGAGGTGATAAAGTCTGAACCATACAAGAGAGGTGGAATTACAGATTTGCCCTTTTTGATACTGTTAAAGATTCTCCAGAAGTCAAGTGCCTAATTTTTGAGACGAAATACGAGATTTCATGACCTCAGGATAGCGGGCTTTGGCGTTAGACAATCTTTAATTTGGCGTAAGACAAATCTAATCACTCTTTCACTTCCGTTGCTAAAGTTCTCACTTAAACTCTTCTGCAGCTTGTGATCTTGACAATATTTTTATTCAAAAGTGTTCTCTAGAACTCTCTTTAACACTCTCTAAACTAAAGATTCTGTTGTCATAGAACCTTTTGGTAGAAGTGGGTTATTGTGATAAAACCTTTTGGTAGAAGCAAAGGCTAATGCGTTTGACATAACAAAGGCTTTCAATAAGGTTTGGCATGATGTTTCCTCTCCATAATCTTGCTTCATATTGAGTGTCTAAAAAAGTTTTTAAAATGTCTTTTTTTTATTTCTTATTGCAATATTAAAGTTGTCTTTGATAAACAATACTCTCGTTAATTTCCAGTAGTGGACAAACTTTCTTTTTAACAAAAGGTTCTTTACTGTGTTCTGCATCTATTAATCTTTCTTTTTTATATATATTAATCTTTCTGATATTCTTACCTTTAAAGTGGTTTTATTAGCTGATGACATTCTAGTCTTGATAATTTGATGTTACTTTTTGATTGCTTATGAAAATCACTTTATCGTATGTTATATTTTTTCTGTGACAGCTTAGAGCTTGCAGTGACATGAGAGATAAAATTCTTGAACTTCTTAACAGCTTAACAGCGGTTAAAGAATGCATCCAGTGGTGCAACCAGGCATTATCTTTTTCCAGATATTTCCGAAGTTCTGGATATTTCTTTAAGTTTTTATTTTTTAATTGTATTTATAAAATAAAAAGATATAAAAAATAATTATATATATAAAATAATAATAATAAATAATCAATTACTCTACGCTATATTTAGTTAAATTAGACATTACTTTTACGCGTGTACATCTAATTATTTTTTTTTTTTTGTACGCGTATATTTATTATAAATTATTATGACTATTTCATCTAAAAATCTTAAAGTTTTTTATCTAAAAAGTATAGTTTAGTAGTTTTTTATATAAATTAATATATAAACCCTATTTAAATATGTATTGAACTTTTATATTAAAAAAATGCCTGCCAAAACCCCAACTCTCAGTCAATGTATGTATACTTCACTATTTAAGTCAGATAGTGTATGTACACTCCGCTGTGACTACGACTATTACAGTCAATTTATGTACGCATTGGTTTCTATGAAATTTTGAAGAAAAAAAAGGTAAACAATAATAGTTAAAAATATAAAACTACTTCAAAGTAAAACTTTGAAAAAAAAATTTTTAAAAGCTCACTTAAAAGCTACGAACCCGCAACCTCAGCAGCGCCTCAAATGTTATGATTCTCACATCCGCGGCACTACGCTACTGGACTACTGCAACAAAAAGTTAAAATATTTAATCATTTTTTATTTTATGATTGTACGCACGTTTAAATAATGAATTTCTTTTCGAGCAAATGAGATATTATTAATTACGCAATATGTATTTTTCAAGATTTTTACAATATGACCTGGATAATCTCTGTGCATCTCATATTTCTATGTAGAATAAATTGTTTGTTGTCAAATATTATTAAATCATTTTTTTTTGGTTATTGATTATTTTTTTGATATAAAACCAATTTATTTCAATAGTTGCAATCAACTTTAGGTTATTAAATTTAAAGATATTTCTTTTGATTTTAAAGAAGATTTTTTACATTTTAAAAACAATTGTCTTCGAGAAAATAAGAATACGAATCACAAAGGATCTTCTTCACCAATTTACCAAGCCTGGGATTGAGTTCAAATATATATTTATTAAAAATTTTAGTAAATATTCGCAGCAGCTTCAGCGTAAGAACAAAAACTTTCAGTAATCATTTTGTTAAGCGAAATTTTTTGATAAAAAAGGTTTATTTATCTTCAGTTAGGATCTATTTTATTGTTATATTTGAAATACCATCAAAATATATTTTTACCGAGAATGCGGAGTACCAAACAGGACTTCGGATATAAAAGTTATAAAATGATTATTTCTTCCTGATATTCGGTATTCTTGAGTTTCAAAAATGTAATGAGGCTTATGGACTACTTTTAGGGGAAAAAATTAAATCGTTAAGGTCAGAAGAACAATCAAATTTTGAACCAGGAGTCATTGTGTATAATGGCGGCAAGGACTCCATGACTCCGTGCTAAAAAAACAATAGGTATCAAGTCATAAAATTTTTTCCATGCTGCAGATTATAAGACTCTAGACAACTTTGAAGAGTCTGGACACCAGAGATTAAGAAAATATAGAGATAGATCGGGAGTACCAAAAGGGCTGGAGCCCTTTTGGTACTCCCGATCCTTAATTTTTGCATTTAATAAGTATTAGATATTTAATAAGATATTACCTATATAATGTTTATGACCCCTTCATTTTAATTCATTTACGATTATAAATAGATAATCCTCATCGTTCGCTTTTTTAATTTTAGCAAAATTCTGAATTGATTGCATTTATATGTTTTTAAAACTTCTTTGTTAATTGTTTGGTAAATATGTTTTATAAATTTAATCAATGCTTAGAATTATTTTACACCTTTGTAACTTATTTTGTTACCTTTTTTAGCTTCGTGATGCTGATAGTTCTGATAATGATGAGAAAGCGGAAGAACCTAAGGAACAAGAAATAGAGAAAGAAAAGTTAAAGTTGCAAAAAGTATTAGAGAAAAAGTCCCCAGAGCCTCCAAAGCCTCCAGCAGAACGTAAATTACCGCCGCGAATTTTAAATCGGAAAGATAGCAGCGATGAAAGCATTTCTCCTAAAAGAGTACCTCATAGGCGTTCAGCTTCCCTTCGTAAAAGATCTCCATCGCCACGCAAACGTATGAGTCCTAGAAGGCGATCCCCAAGTCCAGCTCGTCGTAGATCTCCTAGTCCTGCACGTCGTCGGTCACCGAGTCCTGTCCGTCGTAGGTCACCAAGTCCCGTTCGGCGAAGGTCGCCTAGTCCTGTTCGACGAAGGTCACCCATACGTAAAAGAAATGCATCAGTTGTAAGTGTAGGATCTCGTTCTCCCTCACCAAGGAGACGAAAGCGAACGCCTACTCCGCCCAAGCCAGTAAAATTATGCGTCAGTAATTTGACGCGAAACGTTAACAAAGATCACATTTTAGAAATTTTTAGTGTGTATGGACGTGTGAGATCGATAGATCTACCTTTAGATACAAAGAATTATTTGCCACGTGGCCATGCATATGTAGAATTTGATAAAACTGATGACGCTAAAGATGCAATCAAACACATGGACGGTGGTTGGATTGATGGACAAGAAGTCACTGCTAAAGAAGTATTAGCAATGCCCGAAACATCACTTAGTGGGAACCGTAATCGTACTGATATGGATAGGCAAAGGAACATTCGCAGGCGTTCGCCGCCCCGGTTTAATCGTCGTCCACCTCCCCGAAGGTCGAGAAGTCCCAGAAGAACAGTCCGTTCTCCGGCTGGACCCGTGGGTAGAAGACGCAGGGGATCATTAACAAGTGGCTCTAGTTCTAGATCACCACCACCAAGGAAAAGGTCTCCGCCATCGGTTTCAAAACGTCGAAGATATAGTAGGTCTACATCTGATTCTGAATAAATGCATTCGTTTTGTCAGTTTTTTATTTGCAAAACTTAGGCGACATTCATTTAAAAGTTACTTCGTATCGAAACAATGAGATCCAGTTTGAAATATAAAATGGATTTCTTACGAGTGAACATTACGATAAAATAATTTTTATATTAAGGATATCATCAGATCTTTTGTCCAAAATATAGATATTTTATTCTGAAGTTTTTAGATTGTTCTTAATAATATTTGGATCAATAATAACAATTAAAAATTAGCAATTTTTAGCTTGTACACTTATTACTAAATTTTTAATTTAAATAAATTTTAGTAGTCAGGTATAAAAAAAAAAAAAAATTTATTTGAATTTCACATCTTACATTTGCCGCATTAAGTTTTTTTCGCTCAATTGTTTACACGATCAGATTGACTTGTAGTTTTGGTTTCATACAGTTAAATACCAGAAACTGCAACTTCCAAACGAATAATCAACTTAAGCAAATTGTTTCTTAATTTGAAAGATCTAAGATATTAGTCAGTAAATAGAAATAATACTTTACTTGATAAATAAAGTTATTAAATAGTAATAATTCAAATAGGTATATAACCTTCATAGGTTGACACTACTAGATAGGATTCTTGTTGATTGAGTTCTTGAATCAAAAATGTACATTGATTTATTGTTAATGGTTGTTTGTTTTTTTGCACACAAAAAAAAAACACCTAAAAAGTGCAAAGAAAACACAGACAAATAGGTTGAAATAAATATTGCTTATAATTGGTTGAAAATTAAAATCTTAAATCAGTTGAGTATAAAAAAACTCCAAAATCAATGGAAAGAAAACGACATTGATTGGTCGAAAATTAAAAAAACAATCGGTTGAAAACAGTTTCGGCCTCAGTACTCGGTGTAGTTAAGGCGATTTACAAATAGTTTCAGTTCTTTTATTTAGAGTTAGCATGATTCTATCAGCGTACTCTGTCTAAACAAGATATTATAATTTTTTTTTGCTTCAGATTTTTTTAATATTTAAAGAAACTTTTTTTTATATATAACTTTCAAAACTTTTTTATTACCCCTAATAGTAAATCTACAGAACGCTATTTTGGGGTCTTTAGATCATTTTTGCTCATCGGCGTTAATATGAACTTAGTTGAATTGTTTTGAAAAAGTGCCTTAACCCACTATAGATCCTAATTCTAATCGGTTCTGACGTATATTAACTAAATATATAGTTGTCAAAATATAACATTTCTATAGATTTTCACAAAAAATACAAGAATTCTGACCACGAAAGAGTTTATATTTAAGAAAAATTGCTAATAAACGATCAAAACAGATCATATAAACTATAATGAAACATATTAAAAACATATAAACATTAAACTATAATGTTCATTTCACCTAAAAAATGTATTTATTTATAACCTTTTTTAAATTTGGAAAAGCGATTGTGATTTTAAGAAGATTTTTTTTAAAAAAATTTTTGGTCTGGCTTTTTTCGCTACAAGCATTTATATTTTATGATACCGCAAAATTTATCATTTCAATTTTTTTCAACAAACATGATCATTTGACGGAAATATGTTGTACTCAACAAAATAGCATACAGACGCTATAATATTTTAAAATTGCCTCAACTACACCGAGTAAGACATCTGAAAATTATTTCCACATTTTAGTAAATGTTTTTATTTATTATTGATTTTTTTTTTTTTTTTTTTTTTTTTTGTAAATTAATTTAATAGGGTAAATGGCGATCTATGGTTAGAAGTGAAAATTAAATTTTTTGCGTAAAAGTTTCTATGAATAATTTTATTGTAAACACGATGTTTATAATTATTCTTATTAAAAGCTATAAAGTATAAACATCTCTTTGCAAGAAATTAAGATAAAAGTAAAAAAAAAATCCATACTTGATTTATATACGATGAAAGAAAATAGTGGACAAAATATTATATACAAACATCGTTACTTTTTAAAAATACCTGGAGTGTATTATTTCATAATGCACTCCACGTATCTTTAAAAAATCAATTTTGTCAAACATTACGTCATGTTTTGAAAGATCGAACTATGCGACGCGAATCAATGAACCAAATTTCAGGTGCAATAATTTGAAAAAAGTTATTGTACCTTTTGAAAAACGATATTTTGAGAAAAAAGTTTATTGTGTGACTCGGATGACATTCAAAAACTCCAACAGCCTCCATTACGTCTGATGAGCTATTACGGTTAATGTGCACTACGAAACTCACTGTATTAGTGCTTTTTTTTGTTTTGTTTTGCAAGATCACATTAGTGGCATACTTTAGATTTGATTCGGAAGTCAATAATTATTCCATTATCACTAGAATTTACAGTTTTAAGATCATTTAGAAAAGAGAGCCCTTACTTATGCCAGTTATTATCATAAGAAACTGTAATATCTAACTTGCAATCACCAACGTCTTGTTTAATCTCAGTAGCTGCTTTATTTAAAAAACTTAGAGCAACTTCTTTGTAAACAACTGATATGTTTGTTTGAATGTCATGAAATAACTTATTTATATTTAAAAAAATTAAGTAAATAAATAAATTTATTTAGTTAAATTCATAAATCTACAAATGTTGATAAAGCAAAATGCCGCTTTTATCAATTTCTTTACTATAGTAAACCTCTATGAGCAGGCAAAGTTGTACACAGAAAATAAAAAATATATAGATTTCTATTTATTGCATTTCTTAAATTTTATTTTTTTCCAAATTAATATGTGTTGCAAAATCCTAAAAAAGCTTTTTTATCGTATGGAATGGCTGCATTACCAATTCTATTTGTATTTAACATTACATTTGAATAAAAAATCCACTAAATATTAATAAGCTTTAAAAATCCAGCAGCAGAAGGTTCGTTCGGAGAATAGTCGATGATTCTAGCATTGGTGGTTTCATGGAAAATATTCAAAGCAAAAAGAAACACTTTTTTTGTTGCTTCTTGGATCTATTGTCTGGACACATAATTTTATAGCTTTTTTTAAGTTAGCAGGTAACTCGTTGTTCTCGTAAACCTGCAATAAACTCAAAGATATTTCACCAGCATCAACATGAATATCATCTTCAAACTCTATGAAATTGAAAGGTGGAAATTTTTTTTTTTCATTTATTTGTTATTTTAATGCCTCAAGAAGTCCTAACGGTTTTGTCCCAGAGTACCACAGAAGTGCATTTAACCAGAAAGTTCACGCCTCCTTCCTTACCGTGACACGAAATATGTTTAAAGCTCGTTTCGAACCTGGATCTCCTGCTTATAACCAAGCGCTCTAACCACTGCGCCACGGCCGCACTACAAATACAAACTGCTTTGAATTTAATAAATTGTTCCTAAAAAATTTTTAAAAATTAACACTTTCATATAAACTAAAAATGCAATGTTTTATAAATGTGAAAAATATGTCATTATCTTTTTACTAAATTTCCCACCAAAAGTTTGGAATGCTGAAACATTTGTTGTATGATCAGTTATTACAGTATTGTGCAAATTAGTTCGGACAGTGGTTGAAATAACACAATTATTTGCCACATTGAAGTTTTATTCAAAAAAAACATGCCAATGGTAGAAAATATGATATAATTAATAGGAGATATGACCTCCTTTTGCTTTTACAAGCATTTGAACACGATTTGGCATGGATTCGACCAAAGTTGATCACATTTTAGTTACTTGCTCATCATGATACCAGGTCCTAATTACAGCGCTAATTAGCTTTGCCATTGTCGAACAGTCTTCTTTCAGGAGTCTTTGTTTGATTATAGCCCATAAGTTTTCAATGGGGTTGATGTCTGGAGGTTGATGTCTGGAGCCTTCGTCGGACAGTTGAAGAAGAAATATTTACGCCTGATGAGGAAAAATCTCTCTGAAGGTCTGCACTTGTTTTCTTAGGATCCTTTATACTTTCTCTGATGATAACTGTATCATCGCGAGGTGTTGTCTTGCGTTTTCTTCCATATCTTCCTTGTCGCAGTGTTGAAGATTCGCCAGTGTCTTTTTTTCTTTTCAAGATGTCACCATCAGTTAACTTAGCCACCTTTATTTTCTTAGAAATCTGTCTAATGCTCAAACCAGCACGTTCTTTAAGAGCTATAATGCTTGCACGTTTCTTGGGAGTGATATCCATTGTAAATACGAGGTGAATAATCCGACACAACCTCCGTCACAACCTTTCTGCACAAAGCCTGGAGTAGCACTGAAGCCACTGATGCGTTTGCTAGAATGTCTTCCCGGCAGCAAAGAGTTGCCAGACACCACTAGACTACAGTAAAACACTTATTTATCTGAAAAAACAAGAGAATCTTTAGTATAATAGCTAAAAGTTGGGCATGTTGTGAAAATTATTCCAATTTTGCCACTGTTCGAACTAATTTGCACAATACTGTATAGCTTACAAGTTAAAAGATGTTTTACGTAATGTTTCTAACGGTTTTTTTATATGTGAACTAATAAAAAAACCAAAAATTCGGAACTCTGGACAGGTCTAAAAAACAAAAGAGATTGATTCTTTCAAGCTAACCAGCATAAACACAACAATACCAGAATATAAACTACCATCATCATCAGTACCAATCAAACTTCCTCTATGATATTGAACATACTTTTGTAAATGTTAATTAAAACAATACAGTCAGCACTAATTCATTTTTTTTTTATTAGACCTTTTTGTTTACAAAGAGACAGTTATATAATTCTGTTAATAAATTTTTTTTATGCCTTCTCTGCAACTTCTTGTATATAAGCTATTTTAGTAATGAAACTTGGTTTCCTTTCAAATCTAAAACTACATGTACGTGACTTTTAAATGTTATACAATGTTTAGAATATGATACAACGCGCTGTTGTCAATTCTTTTAAATAAAAACCCTGCTGGATAAAAAGAATAACTAAGATCAGTAATGCTTTTAATTGTATCATGTTTTTTGAAATCATCTGTTTTATAAACAAATTATTGGTTATGTTAACGAACTGCTGGGACTTGTGTAAACTAAGCTCAATTTAATTAGAGATTGCTTTAAGAAAATGTTTTGGTTGGTAGAAGATTTTTGAAATAATTTAATGTTTTACGTTTACCTCTTTTTAAATATTTATTTTTAAAATGGTCAATACATATCGCTGAGTTTTCTGTGAAGATCCAATTTGCTCGATTGGCAAACCTAACCCAACAATTAAGATAATCTAGTTTATTGCTATCA